CTGGTGTATGTTCGTTCCAGTCGGCTTAGCCGGCGGGCATTTAGCATTGCTCGATTTCATGCGCTGGAGGGAAGATCTAGCTTCTTCATGCGATTTGAGCTCTTCCAGATAAAGATTGTTCTGGTCGGTTATCTTCGCAGCTACGGCTTGGGCGCTCGCTGCTTCCAGCCTGGCGTATTTGAGCTCTTCTTGTAAGCTCTGTTTTTCTCGTTCCGCCACAACTGTCGCGATTTGCTCTCCTTCTATCCTGGCCGCCGCGACGGCAGCGGCAACCGCATTTGCATCGGCAGATTCCTTGTTTGCGATCATGACGGCCTGTCTCTCCGTAGTCAGTAATGCTATGTCTTTATTTCCGGCTTCCCGCTCCACTTGCCGTTTAACGGCCTCGGTCTGATTATACAGATGCTCGATCAGCGCATGTTCCCGCTCTCTAGCAGCCACGGCTAAGGCGATCCGCTCAGCCTCGAACGTTTTTCTAGCTTCGACCACAATGTCAGTTAATTCCTCTCTGCCCAATCGAGCCCTTTCGGCCAGCTGCGCTTCATTGGTCAGAAACTCTCTCTGAGTGTTAGCCCCCGCCAGCCTGGCCTGGCCCTGAATAGATTGCACGAGGAGATACGTGCAGTGATGCTCGTCCATTGGGTAGCACTCCGCGCACAGCCATTGAATGTTACACTTATTGCAAACGTCCGAGCAACTCTTGCACACTGGGTTCCTACGTGCGCCGTCTGACCTGTTGGCTTTTTGCTGGGCATCTGCTCTCCGCCTGAGGCGCGCAGTCAGGGTTGGGGTTCCAACAAGCCTCCATCATGGAAACGGTACTGTTGCTCCTTGAAGTAGATCTCGCCCCTGATCTTGGCATCTTGGATGTTCCCCTGCTTGAAGCATTTGATCTGGGGCGAGTGAAGATACTTTCTGGTGGTTTAGGCGCATTTAAGAACTCCTCATCCTTTTCGTCTTGTGTTATTAGCTGAGCACACGTAGCTGGTTGTCCGACCATTTCTGTCATCCTCAACAACAGCCGGAATCGAGGGTTGCCAGTCACCTGAGGTGGTGGCATTGCGGAAGAAACCTTCCTTCAGCGGTGAGATGTTTAGCTCGTAGTCCTCATTCCGTTGTTTATTGAGGTGAGGCGCGGGGGTTCGTCCTGCGGGCCCCCTCTCATGCTTCATCTGAGCCTCCGCCCTGTCCGCCTGAGGCGTCAGGATACTAGTGTCTTCATCGGATCCATCTGGAGACCATCTTTCGTCTTGAACGGGGATATATTCTTCCATCATCACGGACAATGCTCGGCTCAGGGAAATATCACTATTAATGCTATCAAAATCTTCCTCCATGGAATATATTCCGTGATCTTTTTCAATTGGGCCATCACTGTCCTGACCGAATTGTCCGTTAAGTGCTATTGGGATTGGGGCGTTGACACTCGCGCCCACCCATTCGGTCGGGATAATAGGATACGTATTCATATTCCCTTGGACTTCCCCTGGCCGGCCGGCTTCACCAACGGCAATAGCCGTAACGTGCGGGGTGTTCGGAATTGAGCTGATTGACTCCGTCGATTTGGCACTCCATGACGAAAACGCACTTCGTCTAGGTCTTGATGTTACGCCATCTCGCCCGTACGGGCCTGGGGTTTGCTCACGATCACCTATCGGCGACCCCCGCGGGAGATACGTCTACCGACATCTCGGCGATCCCCTCGGTACTTCTCCCCCCCACTACCCGAGTGGCGATGTATGAAGGAGGGATCCGGTCCTGAACTGGACCGTCTCTGTCTGCGTCGCGTCCATCATGTTGTACAACGCGCCTATCGGCGCTTCTCGAGGTATTGGACACGATGCCAGTCTTATCATAGCTCTTTCCCGCAGCGACTGAGTCGCGGGGCACATTTGAAGGATCTTCTTTTGTATGTGACGGCCCCGCGTCCACTGAGTCGCGCGCTTCGGCTGATAACCAGTCTTTCCTCTGAGAATCGGGATAAGATGACAAAGGAATTAAGATCTCATGTTCACTCTGCTCAATAAGAGAGAGACGGGATGAGACATTGATAAGACAGGTATCCGCTAAGCAAGACTACTCTAACAGGAATGTGAAGGGAGGAGGCCGGCCGGGGGCGGACGACGACGAGCCGCCCGCGCGCCCCAGCGCGCTCCTTTTCTCTCCTGCAAGCCAAGGTTGGCTTGCTCGAGCAGTCATACAGTTGCGGAACGCAGCTGTCAGTTCCAGCGGACAGTGCAATGCATGCAACCTAAGTTAAGTCTTAATTGATGATGAGGCGAAGAGGAGCTTATTTACTTCATCCTCATCATCATCATCATCATCATCAGATTCATCGTCATTTTCATCATCATCATCATCATCATCATCATCATCATCATCAGCAGCAGCAGCAGCAGCAGCAGCATCTTACTCCTATTCCACTTCCCCTCCCTCCTCCTTTTCCTCAACCTTCTCCTCCTCCTCCTCTTCCAATTCCGCCCCCTCTGTGTTTCGCAAGTGCTTACATCGCTACTCCCCCTTCTCATCCTCCTCCTTCGCCTCCTCCTCCTCTCCTTGATCCCCTACTCGATCATCATCAATATAACATCGCGCCAACATACCATCAGATCACCACACCATCAGCATCATCACCATCAGGAGCAGCGTCATCGTCTGCATCATGTTCAGCATCACCGGCATAATCAACATCACAAGCACCTTAATCTACATCAGCGACAACCTCATCAACATCATCGTCATCATCGTCAACATAGATTACCCTTTCCCTGGCAGCTACCACCGCCGAAGCCGCGACTCACGTGATGTTCGTGCCGCGAACGGGCACGAAGGCACGTGCACGCTTGCGGGCAGCCTGCCCCGGCGGGATGCACACGAATCCGCGCCAGAGTCTGCGCAAGCCCGCGCCTCTGGCCACCCCGCCACGAGCCCTTGCGTGTCCAGCCTGCGTTGCTTGCAGGTTGAGGGGGAGGGCAAGGGGGAGGGGCTGGAGGGGAGAGAGGAGGTGGAGGAGGGGTGGTGGGGTGCTCTGTTTTCTCCATCCTGTCCTTCTCTTCCTCTTCCTCCCTTTTTTCCTCCCTCTCTTTCCGCCAAGATCCTTGAGGTTCGGCACCCTGGCTTTGCCGTGGGCGCGCGCGGGTCGACGGGAAGAGAAGGGAGCAGGAGGGTGAAGGCGCGAGGAGAAGGCGGAGGAGGGGCAGAGGAGAAGGAGGAGGAGCACGCAGAGGAGGCGAAGGAGGTCCCGAGCGATGAAGGGGGCGTCTGGTGACCACACGCCTCTGAGCCAGAATAAAAAGGGTATGGAGGGGTGCCCGCCGACGACGCACACCAGGAGGAGAAGGAGGAGGGAGAAGGAGGGAGGAAGGAGGAGGGAGTAGAAGGAGGAGGAGAAGGAGGAGGAGGAGGAGAAGGGCGCAGAGGAGGCGAAAGAGGATAAGGAGGAGAAGTAGGAGGAGGAGGAGGAGCAGCAGGAGGAAGAGGGAGGGGAGGCGAAGCAGGACGGCCAGGGCATGCTCAGGGCAGGAGGGGCTCGCCCAGGCCCGCCACCGAGCCCGCCGCGGCGATGGCTGGCAGCAGGCGCACGCAGTCCGAGGGTTTCTTGTACTCTGGGTGCTCCAGGTCCTCCACGGTGTAGGTGCCCTCCTGGAGGGGGGGAGGAGGAGGAGGAGAAGGAGGAGGAGGAAGAGGAGGAGGAGAGGATGAGGAGGAGGAAGAGGAGGAGGAGGGAGGAGGAGGAGGAGGAGGAGGAGGGAGGAGGAGGAGGAGGAGTTCCGCATCGGCTAAAAAGGCGCAACCGCATTCTACATGCATAACAGAAAACGAAAACGGCTTAAGGTCCGGAGTCCTCGGGAGGTGGCACAAACTGCATACGGCGCTCGCGCGCCCGAACCCCGAGAGACTCGGCCTCCTCACTGGAGCCGAAGCCAAAGAGAGCATGATCTCTCACAAGATCAACCCCCGACCCGCCCCTCCCACCCCCCCCAGAAGACGCGAACAGAGAGATGCTGGGCCTGGGAGAGGCCAGCGGTGGAGGGCCTTCCAGGTCCATCTCGCTAGCCAAAAAGTCGCGCGCCCTGTCCGAAAGCACGGCGGCACGAGACACGACCTACCCTGTCTTGCTGGGGTGGCAGCCCTGAAGGATCCACGACACCTGCATCTCTCGACCCGAAGAGCGATGGCCAAGACACTTCGACGCTAGAGCGGACTTCCCGAAGTGGCCCCGCACAGCGCAGATCGAGCCACAAGAAGTGCAAAAGGCGGCAGCCCTTTGGGCAACCCCTTTAAGACGGCGTGATTGCGAGCAGGCAAGATGTGGAACCAGGCCACTCGGCCTTAGCCTCGACGTGTCCCTCCACCCCACCACCCTCACCACCAGTACCGCCGCTACAAGGAGGAGGAGGAGGAGGAGGAGGAGGAGGAGGAGGAGGAGGAGGAGGAGGAGAACGAGGAGGAGGAGAACAGGCAGGAGAACGCGAGGGGCGGAGAGGAGGAGGAGGGAGGAGGGAGGAGGGAGGAGGGAGGAGGAGGTGAGTAGGAGGATAATGAGGAGGAGGGCGGAGAAGGAGGAGAGAGGAGAGGGGGAGGAGGAGGAGGAGGAGGGAGGAGGAGGGAGGAGGAGCGGAGGAGGGAGGAGGAGGCTGGAGGGTATGGTGCTGAGGGTGCTGATGATGCGGCCAGATCCAGCTGGCCCTGATACCGAGGCGGTCGCCCCCACTGAGGGGGCCGAAAGCTGAGCCGATGCCCAGCCAGGATTTCGAGGGGCGCCCAGCGTGACGACGAGAGAACGCCAGGGCCCGAGAACCAAAACCAAACGAGGCGGATCCAGCCGCGGAGACGCCAACCAGCCGAACGACCGCCTAACTGCGCCACCGCCGCCCGCGGCGAGGCGCGCAGCAGTTCAGATCACGACCACATCGCGAGGAGGCCTGAAGCGCCTACAGGAGGCGGCTCTTCTGGTAGGTGTCGGCGACCTCCTATGCCTCGAGGTAGTTGCAGAGGACCTGGAAGAATGCCTCGAAGTCGTTCTTGATGCCGAGGCGCTCGCAAAGCGTCTGGAAGCGAACCCTGAGCTCGCTCCCGTCGCGCTCGACGCCCTCGAGGTACAGGTCGGCCAGCGCCTGGAACTCCTCGTCCGCGGTGGGGCAGACCTCATCCTCCTCCACCTGGGCAGAGCTGGCCCCCATGGGCTGAGGTAGGGGCGCACTGGTCTCCCTACCATCGTCGCCCTCCTTCTGGCTGTCCTCGTACTGCTTGACCTCATTATGCTTGTCCTCTTGCTGCTTGTCGTATGGCTGCTCGCCGGCCAGCTGCAGGGCCTGCACGTCTACCCCCCCCCCCCCCCGAAGCCTAGCAACTTTCTATGCCAGAGACCCCCAAGTCTGAGCAGGCCACGGAGCATTCCTCGCCCTTCTCGGCCCACTCCTCGTCGTCGCCGTCGGCGATGTCGAACACCTCTGGCATCGCGAGCTGCGGGAAGCTCGGGATCGACGGCAAGCCCGTGCCACTATCGCTATCGATCGGCTTGGCACCACCTTCCCCAGGATTCGGCCTGAGGTCCTTCTGCCCCACGTCCGTGACAAACTGCACAGCATGCGATTGACGAACGCTTACTCCACCTTCCCCGCCATCTGCGCGCACAGCTGCACTACCATCGTCCTCTTCTGACTGCCAGTCTTCGCCTAGTCCAGCTGCCACGCGACGCCATGCCGCGGACGTCCTGTCCAGGCTCTGGTAGTCCTCGGTGTCGGCCTGCACGTTCAGGCTGATGGGGTGTGGCGCTTGCTCCAGCGGTTCTTCTTCTTGGGCGGCTGCTTCTCCTCCTCCGTCTCCTCCTGCACGGGGCTCTCCTTCTCCGTCATCTCCTTCGGGTGGCACTCCGCCGATCGATCCCCCACTCCGACCATGCGTATGCCGCTGCTTCCTTTTGCAACCTGTCGAACTCCTGGTCCATGCACACTAGCCCGCGAGAGCGAAGCGCCGCGTCCAGCTCCCCCAGGGTCATGTAGGACGTGTCCGAGTGGACCTTCACCTCTTGCAGTTTCTGGAGCCTCTGCAGCTGCAGCGTGGTCTCGGGCGCCTTGTGGTTGCCATCATTGTACATGCAACTCTCCCTGAAGCCGAAGTTCTTCGCTCCACAGCTTGGGCACTGCCATATCTTGATGTGCACCGCCTCCCCAGAGATCTCCTTCTTCTCCTCCTGGTGCTTGCCAGCCAGCTTGTCGGCCATGAAGCGTTCCCTGGCCAGGAACACCTGCAGTCTCTTCGCCTCGTAGGCCTTCACGTCCTCCGGCTGAAAGGCCCTTTGCCAGGGCACCCGACGGGCCCTCGGTGCCGGAGGCCTGGCCTTCGCTGGCGCCAGCGGCATGGCTTTCGCTGGCGAGGCCGCCGTCTGCTCGCGACGCGTCTGCCGGGCACGATTGCGACACGCCGCGAACTCCATCGCAGTCGAAGACCACGACGAGCTCTGACTGGCCTCCCGCCTCCACGTACTGCTGCTCGAGACAGCCGAGGATCTGGCCAATGCCGTCCTCGACGCAGAGTGAGCTCGCCACGTGGAGCCTCATGCCTCGATGGCCGCCATGGCCCCGCGCGGCAGGCGCCCCTCCGAAGTGCGTCGCGCGACCCCAGCTCCAAGCTGAGCGAAAGGGCTTGGCAGGAGGGAGGAGGAGGAGGAGGAGGAGGAGGAGGAGAAGGAGGGAGGAGGAGAAGGAGGAGACGGAGGGAGGAGTAGGAGGAGGAGAAGGAGGAGGAGGAGGAGGAGGGAGGAAGGAGGAGAAGGAGGAGGAGAAGGAGATGGAGGAGGGAGGATAGGGGATGGCAAAGGCCCCCTCAGGGAGTGGGGGTCAGCTCTGGGTCAAGCTCAGCTCGAGACTTAGATGCTCAAGCCAGTCAAGGTTGACATTTCTTCACAACCCAAAAACCATCAAGGAGGGGAAGGTAGCACACTATGACGGCCGAAGAGCATGCCCGAAGCGCCTTGTCCGCCTCACATTGGCGCGAGGAAGAAAGTAGTCGAGCCTCAGCAGCCAGTCAAGGCTGACACGATCAAACTGCTTGCTGCCTCTGGTGCGGGCCTCCTGATCGGCCGAAAACTTACGCAACTGCCTGGCCAGTTTGAAACAACCTTCAACCAACAGTCTGTCAGCTTCGGGGATCCTACTGGGCTTGGCACCCTCCTTGGCATACGCATCCGCCGCTTTGTTACCGGGGTACTCGAGGCGGCTAAGCGTACCGTTCTCAGCATCTCTGACAGTGCAATGAGCGGGCACATTGTGCCTCAGGACACCGTCAAGCCTGTAGTGGACATGCTGCCACAGGTGCGCACGAGCGTTTTCGGGGTTGACAGCCTGGAAGGTGCCGGAACCATATCCCAAGGTCCCAGAACATTCCGTACAGGCTAGCCCCTGGAAGAACCAACGCATGGCGAACAAGGGATCTCACAGCGTAATCTTCGCCACCTCTCGCAACTTCAAACGGAGAAGCGTCCAAAGGCACACGCCCCTAGATCGCACGAGCAACTTTCCCCCACCCGACCGTAACGATCACCGCCCACCCTGCCGATCTAATCCTAGGAAAGAGCGTGTTCTACCGCTGCTGGCGGAAAACCGGGGGGGGTCACTACCGGTTCGAACCCCTACCCCCCCCCCCCTCCGGAAAACCGAGGGGGGGTCACTACCGGTTCGAACCCCTCCCCCCCCCAGTTCATCATGAAAAGGGGGGGGGGTCACTACCGGATCGAACCACCACCCCCCCCCTCCCCCCCTCGACCCCCTCGAAAACCGAGGGGGGGTGCGGACAGTGGTAGGGACGGTGGTGGTGGGGACAGTGGTGAGGGGACAGCGGGACAGTGGTGGGAACAGTGGGACAGTGGTGGGGACTGTAGTGGTGGGGACAGTGGTGAGGTGGTGAGGACAATGGTGGGAACAGTGGGGACAGTGGACAGTGGTGGGGACGGTGGTGGTGGGGACAGTGGTGTGGGGACAGTGGGAGGTGGAAACAGTGGGACAGTGGAGGGTACAGTGGTGGTGGGGACAGTGGTGAAGGCGGTGGCGAGGACGGCGGTGGGACAATGGGACAGAGGTACAGTGGGAACAGTGGTGGGGACAGTGGGGACAGTGGCGGGAACAGTGGTGGGAACAGTGGGACAGCTCAGTGGGACAGCGGAGGAGTCAGTGGGACAGTGGGGACAGTGGGGATAGTCGGCCAGTGGTTGGGGCCGTGATGAAAGTGGGGAGAGTGGAACCGTGGTGGGAACAGTAGTGGGGACAGCGGGGACAGTGCGACAGTGGTGGGAGCACTGGTGGGGACAGTAGGGACGGTGGTGGAACCAGTGGGGACAGTGGCGGTGAGGACAGTGGTGCTGGGAACAACAGTGGGGGATGTGGCGCGGACGGTGGTAGGGACCGGGAGTCGTTTGCTGGCGGTGAGTGGGGGGGTGGGGAGAGGTTCGAACCGGTAGTGACCACCCCCTCCGGTTTTCGAGGGGGGGGGGGGGGGGGGGTGGGTGGGTTTCGAACCGTAGTGACCCCTCCCCGGTTTTCGAGGGGGAGGGGGGGGGGGGGAGGGGTTAGGGAGGGCGTGGGGTTTTGCCGGGGGAGGGGGGGGGTGGGGGTCCAGCAGGGGGGGGGGGAGTTTAGAGTTCGGATTGGGGGGGGGGGTTCCCTGTGGCATCATTCGTCCTCGATCAGCGGCTCGAGGACGAATGATGCCACAGGGAATTCGCGACGCCTCGCCTGTGGCAGATTGTTTCCTTCGTTTCGCCCCGTTCCCCTCTCCCCTGGCCCCGTCCCCTGCCTCCTGCCTTCCCCCTGCCCCCCTGCCACCCGTCTCGCACAATGAGCCGGAAATCCAGCAATGCAGAGATGGAACAGTAGCAGTGTTCAGCATATTTGCACATTGGATATTGCATTTTTTTCCGTAGCCGTGATGGCTTAATGGTTCATGCGAGTTGTTCCAGAGCCGGCTTCGCAGTCACAAGCTTTAGGCCGGTGCTCAAGCCGGGCACGTCGAGCTATTGACAAGAAACATACACAGTCCGGCGCACAACGTTGGGGTGCGTGACTGCGAGGGCGCTGGTAAAGAAACAACATCATCACATTCGTTCACGTCTACATCACGTTCGTGCCGTAGTGTGATTCTGCTTCTCTTCACAGAGGAAAACGAGCGACCACGGAGGGGTTTGGTTCATAATCCTGTACCGCAGCTTGTTCGCTGACGACATCTACATCTTGCTAATTATCGGCAGCTTATCCGTAATTCACTTCCATATTCTACACGTTTCTCTCCTATTACATATTCACTACCGTTTTTGGAATACAGGAATCGTCAAAATATGCAAGCATTCTCACGTATAGTACATCCGATCCCGTACAAAGGCGCTTCCGGCAAAGGGTATAGGAGTCAAGGTGGATATCGGTCTCCTGGTGAATCGGCGAATTTTCAACAACGAGCCGACTGTTCGCTGTCTGCCTTCCTTGCTTCGCGCGCCCCGCTGGGGCAGCAAGGGAACCGACAATTTATCACCCAGGAGCTCGGCAGACAATTGCAACGACTTGGGGGGTTGAGTGGGGAGGTACAGGGAGCTCCCCAAACAGGCCCCAAACCTTATGATCCCGATCACCTCTTCCAGCGATTGTTTTTTATCCGACATAAATCCTAAGCGTTGCGTGACATATGATTTATCCGACATAAAATCTGAGCGCTTCGCGCAATATAAGTTAATATAACATTGCGTGAGGGCGCGTGAGGGTTATGGGCGCCCCAGGGCGCAACCTATGGCGCAACCAATAGGAGGACTCTTTATTATCGGGATTTCTGAGGCAATGCACCGTTGCATCCTTTGGCATTCTCAGCACAATGCATCTTACGATTGATATCGAATGCTCTCGCCTTCCTTTCCCGAACCTCCATCTTCCTACACCCAGAGCCGTTCTGGCTCAACGTGTTCGGGTGTTCGGTTCCTTGCACACGTCCTTGCACTTCCATATGATGGATTCCATATGTCGGACGTGGAGCATCCAATCGCGTTGCATCTGATATCGAAGTGCTCTCTCACATCAAACGGAACATGCCATTTCAAAACAAGGGACGACTTGGTTTCATGCTTATTCAATGTTTTGAACACACTCGGTGCTCAACAGTTCGGAAACGTGGGCCAGCTCAAAAGGAAATGTCCTCACCCGCGTACGATTGATGCAGTTGAAATTTGGCATGGAGTGAACTATT